GGCCATAGGTTCCGCGTGCAGACTCTCTCGAAAGCCTCGTAGATGCCCCGGTGGCAGACTTTCATGGCCTCCACTGCATTCGGACTGAAGGAGACGCCTGCGCCTACCTCGCCGAATGCTGGGGCTTGCTCGTAGATCGTCACTGGGATTTGACGGTGGTAGAGGGCGATGGCCAGAGTCACGCCGGCAATCCCACCGCCAACAACGGCAACGTGGAAGTTCTTCTTGGGGTTCATTTGCACGGTTTTATCCGAATGGTGAGATACCGATGAAGATATTACGTGAGATGGCGAGGGTCAGTTGAAAATGTCGCTTTAACGAGGGGAGCGACTACACGCAAGGCAACCATTTCAATCATGAACAATCATACCGGTGACCCTCTACGGTTTTAACATTTTGAATTGCGCGGACTGGTGAGTCGGATCTGGAGGAGGCGTATCGGCTGGGCCTCAGGCCCTATCGGATAACGAAGAGACCCACCCCATGGGGCATCGGACATCCTCCTTTTGTTAACGGTGGGCCGCTAAGTGCGTAGAGAGCAACTTATTCGGCGTCGCTTCAAATCAGGCTCTGGCCGGAAGAAGATTAAGCTTCTGTATCATTACTATCATTTCGCAAATGTCGACTGTGGTCATGTTGTCATGTCCAATCTTTGAATCTATAGATCCGGGGGATTTGCGAGATCCGAAGTGGGTACGGGATTGTCACTTTGAGATTGATGACTGATGGTCGACAACGACACCGACTGATTACTACTTCTGATTCGAATGTCTCGTCGCGCATCGTTCAGCTGAGATGAATTGAACTTTGTTAGTTTGTACAGTTTAATGTATACTGCACATTGTGCATTGCCCTCGGAACGTATCCGACCCCTTCCATAGCCTAGGAGCCAAACGTTTCTATTGACATTGTACGCCTTCTGGGTAGATATGGCCTATTTGATCGACTCATCTGGAGAATCTCTCGCAACAACACAGAGCTATTGAGAGAAATAATATCTTCACAAGACGCCGATGACCTCATGCGAAGCAGATTGCAGCGGGGCAGTGAGGATATAGACATGTGGATTGTGGAGACCTATGAGCATGTTCAACAGGTTCATAGTTGTCACCTAGCATAGCTTCTTCAATTCAGCTACTACCTGAGGGGCCTGCCTTGATCATACGACCTGGTACCTCTCTAAAGATTTCTCCTTATGCTGACCGGAAAGCTTCAAGATTGGGTAAATTCTTTACGTCCTACAAAATAAATATGATCCAATCACAATACTTTGTCTTGCTGCATCACACCAAAAGCGGCAATTGGGCTAGTTGCAGTCTACTAGGTAATCTTAGTGAGGTACCCACGAATTAGACTAGGTACTGGTCAAAGGCGGCAGGAGTCGCGCAGTAATATTATTACGCATGGTCAGGACTGTCGGACCTGGAGTTGGGTTGGGCGATATCCTTWAAAACAATGTTAGAGAGGTTAACCTCAAGGTTGAAAGAGCGATATCTAGTCTAAACAGAGTCTGCAGAGATCAACTGCTCACGTATTGTTGAGAGTTGGGAATAGAATTTGAGGCCGAAAAGGCTAGGTAGGCAAGCTAGGAAGAGCTTCAAGCTGCATAACCAACTGTGTCACCTGTGACCTGCGGTTGCTTTGCGGCATTATTACTATCGGATAATCGGCCCATCTTCGTCCTGGTCCTGGTGACTCAAGATGGCTTGTATCAGATATACAGATTATATACATCTGTTCCCTTTACCTTCTCTTAAGAATTTCTTGACATCTAGTCGCTTACCTGGTTTCCTAGGTTGTAGGTACGGTAGATATCAAGTCTACCTTCACTTGCTCATAGTGAACCACACTATGGGGTAAGGCACCTCCAGTCCTCCAGCTATGTAGGTAGTTGGTTTGGAACTAAGAACAATAGAATACACCCTTGCTGAGGGGTACATATGCACCTGATTGGAACTAGAAACTGCACACGTTCTTCTAGATTAATAGGTATTGTCAGACCACATACACAAGCCTGGTTCCCTAAGCGAAGTACTCCATCGTCGTAATTCGTAAACTATTGAAAAGTAAACCATAGTCTACGGACGGGAGTACGTAGGGCCAAAGAAGTAACGGGAATACGGCAACTGGAATTTCGCTCAAGGACGAATTGGGCATCGACGCCCCTCCTCCAGTCCACACCAGCCACCAAACTGGAGGAGCGAATGCTTCCGAGGTTCGCTCATACTCAAACTCAGCCATACAGAATGAGACACCCCTTTTTTTAAGTGCATGTTTGTTCTATTCTTTGTTCCTTAAGCGTGGAGTCAGCCGCATGCTTACTTTTTCCTTCCAGTTGCCACTGTTCTGACAGAAATTTTCTGTATCTAATTTTCTGTATCTCACCTCACCTGCTTCGAAAAGGCCGGTGCCCCACCTTGGAACGGAATAAAGACTGGAGTGGCGTAGCACTAAGCTGGAATTTTGCCATCGACTAGCCCGGTCAGGCTTAGCTGCTCAAGTAGAGGCTTACTAGGGCAAGATTAGAGACAGCTGGAGCTGGAGCTCTGGAATGAAAGCTCCAAGCCGGAGCTGGGGAGAGCTATGCACTTATGGAGTCCTAAGGAGGAGGTGCTTGGTAGTAGGAAGGCAACAAAAATTTTAGGTCGCACCAGGCCTACTCATATAACCTTCAATTTTTCGTGCTCTTGTACCTGGTCTCCGGATAAATGGGCATTTTCCATACTTTCAAGGTATAAAAGAAGAAGGGAATTGATCTCACCATAGAATGCAGCTCTTCTGAAAGGTCAAGGCCCAGCTGAAATTTGTGCTGCGCAGCTGTCCCAAATCTCAAGAGGGGCAGGGTTCCACTGGGCTTCCCGAAGTGCTGGTCATTCAGACCTTGAAATTTGGATGGTCTGCGACAGTACACGTATTGGTAATACCAGATCTTTGACCGAGCTCAATCCATCCAACAGCTCCAACAACAGACCGACGCAGAATCAGTCAAGAAAGTACAGCATTAAACACTTCAGATTAAGCATATTTTATCACAAATTTATCTTGATGAAGGTATTGGAAGAGTTGGACAAAATAAAATGCAAGATCCTAAAGTTTCTGTAAACAAACCTGTGTTGGAGTCGAATACCCAGTCTGCCGGAACCCCTCCTTTATTTACCATACAGTACGGTAATGCCTTAATCCATCTGGATGGTCACATACTCCACTGACAGCAGGTAATGCCACCTCCTGTAAGGGGTACATTCTATCTGACGATGGAAATCGGGATATATCTTGATACTTGTGGCTTCATCTCAAGCTGGATATCGGTCTTTGAAAATTCTGATTCCCCCTTAAGTCTTTCGGTTCAGCCGAAAAATGCTGTTGTGTAATGAGGACACCCATGTCTGCGATGCGGGTATCGCTCTGTCCCACGTTTCGTTTATCGATAGGCGCGATTTTAATTCGGCATCACGGAGAGGCCTTCCTTGACCCTCGAACTCGGGCTTTAGCTTGCCTGATCAATCAAATGCCATTGGCTGTCATCTGTGTGACACTTGAATACAAGTTACCTACTTTTTAGTGATTTTTTCCCTCTGCCCCTCTCAAAAATCACAGTGGGTAGGAACTGCTGCAAGTGCAACAGTGGTAGCTAGGTAGCTACCTCTTTTGATACTACCAAGTGTAAAATGTCTGTCCTCGCAATGATAATCATATCGGATACTAGGGGAATGGCCTGTGTAGTGATCTCGATGTCCCACGGAACGATTTGCCTTCCTTGGACCATTAGACTGGACACCGTGCCACCGGATTCATCTCAAAGAAACCAATCTACCAGAAGACTACAATTTTGTTATCGTTATCGATTATCATCAACATCGTCACCACTATCTGCACAAGCGATAAAGAGGGACATCAATATCATCTGTGGTAGATTGCCCTCGACCTTGAGCTTGAAGCCCACACTCTGCCTTTTCCGGGCTTCTCGGCCACCAGTCATCATCATTACACTTTCACAATAATACTACCTAAAAACCCTAGGGAGATATCCAGCTTTTTCGTTCCATTCCACCCACCCTTTTCCCCTCCCCAGCTCTACCGGCTTTCTTTCGTCCCCTCTTGACCTCTGGATCAACTAAGCCAATATTCTGTCTGCTATTGGCATTCTCCATCTGTACCGGACCTATCTAGCTGTGTATTTCATTTACGATACCTTGCAGCTTTACCCGTACTTTTCCTACTCTTGCTGACGCCCCCTTACCTTCCCTTTCTATCACACTTATCTCCCCGGACTAACCACATTTACCACCATCTACCGCTACTTTTAACTGCTATCTATATACCGACCACGACAGAGCTACCATTACTATTCTTACTGCTAGCTATCCTATTCGAGTACTTACAAGCTAGCTAGTCCTGGTTCATTGTTCTTCCATATCATCTGCTCACGTATCCATCTACCACACTTTAAACCTTTTGTCTCAATTTCCCTTTCCACTTTCGATTCTTTGACATCCGCTCAATCCGTCGCATGGGTATTTTTTACTCAGAATCATTCTAAAAATTTTCCAGTCTTTATCGGAGCATGTATTGCGACGTTCGGCTCATTTAGCTTGGATCCTTTTTTGCGTTGCTTGATTGACTGATTGACGTCGAACGGCTTGCTTGCATCTCCCTCCAACCCCGCCGCCATCACGGTTTCATGCAGACAATGCCGCCCCGAGCGTCCCTGACCAGCTCCTTTTCTGTCACTGACGCCAATAATGAGGTCGTCTGTCCATTGAAGAATAATGACGGCTCCAATTGCCGCAAAAGATGTCTGGGTGTGAGTTCTCCATGGTGGTTTCTTCGATTTCCCTGCTCCTTCTTCCCCCGCCCGTCTAGCTATCAGTATGGAGCCCCACTTTTAGTGGCTATCCAGCTCCTTCAACAACGATTTTCGAGAGAGGATATTTAGTCAAAAGCAACGTCTGTAGGATTAATGTCTGATGATATGTGTATAGGAGAAACGTTATCGCTCCATGCAGGAGCACATCCGACGGGCGCATCCCAACCACTACATTCCGAAGCTCCCGGCTACCGAAGAAAGCTTTCTCTTGATGGTTACCACGCCTCCGGATCAGCGTGCTCATATATCTGCTCCGAACCAAGCTCCATCTCGAAGACATAATGGTGGGTTCATTCAGTTGCTTGACCAGCTAGATTCAAAGAGCACCAGCTCTGACTCTGAGCTACAGCAGACCGAGATATCTACGTTGCGGATGCCAGCTCGCCTGCAACCCCCCGGGGTATCGATGAAGCTCATCCTGCAGCTGCAACAGCTGCTGTCGCATTGGCTCAATTGCACCATCACCGCTTAGCGTCGGACTGGGATACTGATATGGTATGGATAGCACACCGAGACAGAATGATTTGGGCTGACAAGTCACAAGGAGGTCCACTCGGATAACGACATTGGTCGAGACCGCATGCGATCATCGATTGAACTTCCATCCCTGCGAGACCACTTCAAGCAAGAATCGCTACCTCCATTTTCGTCGCCCCGTCCACGAGGACTTCTCCCTTCAATTCTCAACCACTCTCCTCCGGGTCGCTCATCGACACTACCTCCTATCCAGCGACGAGACAAGCTGCCTCGTCCACGCAAGTCCTCTATCTCTCGCAAGCTAAAGCATGACCGGACAAGATCGAAAGAATATGGACGACGTCCTAGCCTAGGGGATCGCAAGGCACTTTCGGCTGAGCCTCAAACGGCGGCTTGGGCGCAAGGCAAGCGGTGGGAGGACCTGATTGAAGCGGCCACCTCGGCCACTGAAGCAGATGATGAGCAAAACTCTGATGTGAGTCGTGCACTTTTTGGCTGTTTGTCACGGACGTTAGTTCATAGCTGACTGGACCAGATCGGTCGTTCGCCAACAATTCCCCCTTTGATTTCTAACATAACGTCGGCCCCCGCTCAGAATCGTTCGTCGTTACCACCTGCTTTTCAGTCTGGAAGTCTGCCTGCGCCTGCGTCGCATCGCCCATTCCCTCCTCACTCGTACGCGGCATCGCCTTTGCACAAGTCCCTCACTCCGCCGCCTTTTGAGACTCGCAGTCGGGATGGTGATCTCGAGCCGTTCCCCTCTATTGAATCTCTCGATTCGTCGTCCACCACATCAGGTAAAAATTTCAGTTTCGGAAGAAACATGGGCACCTCTGCGAATTCAGACTCCAGTCCAGTTCTGAATCTGTTCCCGCCTTCTGCGTCCCAGCGCCAGCACCACCGGTTCTCAAACCCGACCCCAGCTTCATTCCGAAACAAGGAAATTCAGATATACTGTGCGAGCTGCAAGCGGCCGTGGGCCCTGAACGAATGTTATGCGTGCACCGAGTGCATTTGCGGCGTATGCCGGGAGTGTGTGGGAATGTTCGTTAGCAGTCCACCCGTCTCGTTCAAGAACGTGACCTCAAGTCCGGGCAGCGCAGTGCCTAGCAACAGCGCGGGGTACGGGCCTACCAGCTACCCGAGCCCGCGTGGATGTCCACGGTGTCGGACCGTCGGGGGCAAGTGGAAAGCATTCCAAATCGAAATCAGGTGAAGAAGAAGGCTGTTTCCCGTCCGACTCTGAGCATCCGCTAGGACGATTACACTCATTTGCCGCAATCTTTACTCTGTCTAATGGATAACGATTAATGTTTTGGGATCATGATCATTGAAATCACGCGCAACATGACTGAAATGTGCAGACACGGGGCGTTATCAATTGTAAGTGGGTTCATGGTTTCAATGCCTCGGCTATACATGACATTTGGCAAGGTATGACCTGCCAACGAGATACTTCCATCAATCAATCCGCTAGTCTGTGGTATGTACTGGCAGCATATGGTTGATGAGACTCGATTTATGAAAGTTGAAAACGTGGATGAATTAAAAAGCCGGGCTTTTGTCATTTATTTCATGATTATGCTGGACGAATATATGACGGGGGCATTTTGGATTTTCTCTTTTTTAGGATTAAGATACACTGGTTATTCTGGTTTGGACGGGTTTGGTTCAGAATTGCATCTTATTAGTCTTTTGGCAGCAATGCATGAAGATTTCATTTGGCGTGCGTCTATGCTATCACTTCACATTCTGAATCCAGCAAGATATTGAGATACGACAACGTTCAAATTACTCTGCCCAGATGACGCTGCTCAGGCCTGTTGAAGTCCCAGGCTCTCCGGGCTCTCCGACTCGAATGTTGGCCACCAGGTCACCCAACTTTCCACTCGCCGGATCCCGGGAGACAATGGCAACGTTGGAAGAGGACTGGTCCCCGATAGCGACCAGGGTGCCGGCCTTGTTGCTGACAAAGGTACGGGGTACCAGGCCATGGGCAGAGGTGAGTTCCTGGAAGGTCACGGTGCCGTTCTTCGAGCGGGTGAGGGTGGCCAATGAATCATTGCCGGAGAAGGCATGGTCGCTGCGGATCGAGGCATACAGGTTTGATCCGGCTTGCTGCAGCTCGGCCAGCGACGCGCCCTCGGGGATTTCCCCGCCCGGGTATGGCACGGAGTCCTGAGTCTCGCGGAAGCCGAGACAGCCAGAGGGGAGGTACGAGACGGCGAAAGCGTGAAAGTGGCGGCTCAATTCACTGACCGTGTACAGCATTGTCGCTGGCGCGTTTTTGGCGGCCTTTTTCTGGTTGCGCAGACCATCGCGATGCGAGTGGCGAGAAGACCAGAAGAGGCCGTGTCGCGGTCCACTGCCGGGAGTGTAGTTGAGGCTGGGGCAGGTGTTTAGTTGGCCCGATTGCTTGTCGATGGCGTACACGCGAACCAAATCAGCGCCTAGGTCAGGGATGAGGATGAACGAGCCTGTAGGGTCGAGGATGATCTGGTGGGGATGAGAGGAGTCCTGCTCCGGACGTGGGCCTGGTGGTGTCTGGTACCGCAGGATCTGCAGGGGCTCGTCGCCGGGTTTGATGGGGAGGGCAAAGGTCGATACCGCCGAACCGGAGCTTCGTCTGCTGTCAGATTTGTCACGCATTATCGTGGGAATTGACTTACTAGTGCGCAATGGCCAAGTACTTTGCATCGTGGTCTCCTTCGTACACGACGCTGTGGACGCCACCGCCGACGTCCACCACCTTTGCGAGCTGCGTGAGCGATCCATCTTGTGCGACGGCGTAAGCGCTCAGAGTGCCATTGGTCGTCGCGTCGCCGGTCTCGTCGGAACAGTAGAGTGTGCTCGTTTCGCCGTCCAGGGTCAACCAGCTCGGCATGCCGCCGCAGGTGGTCCTGGCCGACGCGAGAGACAGATCGTACTTGCCATTGCGATGGCCGAGGGTGAGGGTGTAAACAGAGCCACTGTAGTGGGTGGCATAGAGGGTCGCAGCAGAAGCCAGGGTTGCGAACAGGGGGAGATAGCCCAGCATTTTGTACAGTGCAGTATGCAGGTCGAAGGATTGTCAGTTTACGGGGTAGTTACGAATTATATACTCGGGTCTGCGGGAGAAACCCGGACGGAAATGAAGGCGCGACGGTGACATTGTTGTTGTCTTCATGCAGGATAGCGGAGCTGGTGGCTGGCGTGGGGAGCGGTAGTCGGCATGGATCTGCATTTTTTCTTATGTTTATGGAGTATGAGTGTGGGATGCCAAGAACGTGGGATACAGAGTATTCGGATTGAGTTTAAACGAGTCATTAGACTCTACTGGTGCTCTGATGTGGTAGATGTCTCAAGTTGATGATGTTACAGCGACACGTCTTCCCCGCACTAGAGATGGATACCCTTACGGGGTCCGGGGAACCTCCATGCACAAAAGAAATAGTGTTCCTATTCGGGTAAAGCATGTATGTTTTGAGGCTTGGCATCGTGCATGATCGACACTAGAGTACGGAGTATATAGCTTCGGTTCCTGACTACTGGTCGAGATCGGGTATCGTCTATTGTTGCTTTTTACGACCCTATCATGGGTTTTAATATAGAATCAGGGTGCATCCTTGCTACTGGATCAAGGTCGTAGTCTAGGATGTGTTTTGTGGTATCCGCAAGTTTCAATGGAATCAGGTTAGGAGAGAATGCAGTCGTTTGAGAAAGAGAACTGCAAACCTCATTTTTGATGTGTTTGATAGTACCACGCACAGTGTGACGTTGATACATGTTTAGTTGATGCTTGTAGGTTCTCCCTCAGAAAGAAGCAAGTTCCTGGATATTCTGCGTCCCGAAAACAACCTACCCAGTATGGGTGAAGGGATTCTAGGTAAGGGACGAGGAGGACGGGAGTGAAGATTATAGATACATGATATGAAGCTATTCAGAAGCAGTTTATTAAAGAGAGTGGCTGAAGAACTAACTTTTTGAATGACCTGCGTCAGAGGCTGTCCATCAGAATCGTGCTTTAAAGCTGACCAAAAATTCACAAATAACCTTGCTATGATGTAAATATCATTTAGTAAGCTACAGATCACTACAATAACAGTATTCACTATTGTACAAACACCGACGAAGCATCCAGAGTTTTCTATTGTAGTAAAGTGACCCCATCTCCCTCTGCTTCCCTTCCTCTTATAAACGTCTCATCTCCCTCTCACTTCCTGTCTCCTTTCTTCTCACCACCTCAACCATCTCCTGCTCTGAGCCTTGTTTATCCCTTTACTCTCTCTTCTTACTTCATTTTTCTTCATTTTCTGAGTGTTATTGGTGTCACTAAACTTCTAAGCCACTGCTAAGGCTCTTCTCATCGTTTACCTACAATCATTTCACCCTGCTCTCAAATCTTGTCTGGGATCTTCCCATCAAAAGAGGAAGAGACAAGACCAATCTATCTATCTGTCTGTTTTCTTCATCCTGTCCTTGTTTTTCTTTCTGGTTTGCTGCTCGTGTGCAATAACCACAGGCTCTTTCAATGTTCTGAGATTTGCTATCTCTTTCACACTTGACATTTGGCTACGATGACCTCAAAAGCACCGGCCGCGTTTCAGGAACACCAGGCCAGAAAGCGCCTGGACCAATTTGCCGCCGACTTAGAAACGTCAATCAACCATGCGATAAAATTCAGCCCGTATCGAAAGACAGCAGTCATCGCCTTTCATTGGGAAAACGACGATATAGGAGTCGAGCCCCTCGAGAGAGAACTTCTAGACGTCTTTAAATCAGTTTATGGATTTGAGACTGAGAGCTTCTCGATTCCGCTTTATGAATCTCAGTTCAAACTTCTCGAGCGACTTGTTTCCTGGTCACGACGCAACGCTGGGGACGATACACTGCGCATTTATGTCTACTCAGGACATGCCAGCTCCGCCGGAACAGTGGCCAGTCGGTGGTACTTGAGGTAAACTATAAACTCTCTGCTTCTATTCGAGTCATTCGTCTCAAGTTCTCAACTGACGGATAACAGCGGTCGATATGATCCGATTACCAGGAACCTTGTAGGTCCTCAGCTTGACTGGTGGAACATTCGTAGCTACTTGGAACACTACACAGGCGACATCTGTTACCTATTTGACTGCTGCTCGGCCGGATCAGGTGCTCTAGGCGCCTACGACGGCGCAGAGTTCATAGCAGCCTCTGTCTGGGATGCAGCAGCGACGGCGAATACCCACTTCTCCTTTACCCGGATTCTCATCGATGAACTCCGTCAGCTAAACGGTCAGGCCGAGACGCTGGCTTGTATCTATGCTCTAATTTTCCGCAATGCGCAGCAGAATCAAATCGGGGCTCCACCAATCCATATCCCTAAACTGAATTCGCCAAGCGTGACCATCGGCCGCAATCGCTCGAGGCCGGCGGCCACAAGAAGTAGCGAGCGAGACAGTTACCGGGTGCTACTAAGCGTCAAAGTCCGGGACGAGATTCCCCCAGATCCCACTCAATGGAAAGAGTGGTTGACTCGGAATATTCCTGCCAGCGTCTTATCCGCCAAGGTCACGATTGAAGGAGCCTTTCGAGGTTCTAGTCTCCTTCTTTTCACCGTTCCCGTCGAGATCTGGACAATGATGCCGGCTAATGACCCATCCTACACGTTTATTGGGCACGTTAAGTCTCATATTATTTTATCCCAACAATTGACTCAAACAACCACGCTACCAATGCGCTTCCCCCCTCTATCTGGAGGAGAAAATCAGCCACCGCGAGGCCCAGACAGAAAGTCTCTCGGTAGTCCTGGGCCTGCGCCTCCTCGTTGGTAGGTTTACAGTATGACCATGACAGCAGTTGCCCACGGGTGTCGCGGTTATGAGGATTTGCTATGGCCATTTTCTTTTTTGAGAGGGTGACAGGACGTTTTTTTCTCCTTTGCTTGACATGCCATTTCGATAGGGGGTTGTTCATTACACCCTGATAACGTATTATGATCGCTATTGCAATTCAAAAGGTTTATTAAACATGTTTCTGCCCTGTAATATAGATGCTCTACTTCTTCTTTGCAGCAGCCTTGCTCTTCGCCTCAAGCTGCCGTTTCACCTCCTTGTGCTTGTGATCCACACTAGGCCTTAATTAAGAGGCTGAAAATGGCCTTAGTCCCCAGTCTGTCTCTATTGTAGGATAGAAGGCTACGGCAAAAGATATAAAGCCACTGGCTTAGTTTGTAGCAGCAGGAAAGGAATGCTATCAGTCATGAAAGTACTGTCGAATTATGTACCACACATGGTGTAGACTCTAGGAAAACGGAGTATATAGCTTCGGTTCCTGACTGCTGCTTGAGTCGCGGCTATCTTCTATTGCTGGTTTTTACAATATCTTGGGTTCCATTATCAGAATCAGTGGAGCATGCTTGCTATAGGGTCAAGATCAAGATCATATCCTTGGATATATTTTCGTGGTATCCGCAAGTCTTGATGGATTCAGGTTAGGAGAGAATGGAGGTCATTTCGGAACTGCAAACCTCCCATCGTTTTTGATGCGTTTGATGAGTACTGTGAATAGTATGGCATTAATTCATATGTCAGTTGATGCTTTATAAAAGCATGGTTCTTGGTATTCTGCGGGAAAAATGACCTGGAACAACATGAACAAGCTTATAATGTAGGCATTCATCCCTATTAATCGACTAAGCTACTTTCCTTCTCTTCACATCTGCTCTCTTCTTTCTTCACTCTACTCAGAAGACTTAAGTGACTGACCTAAGCATTCACCTGTCTAATAAAGATGCATTCACTACGTAAAGGCTGAAGGAGCATCCAGGAGAGGTTTCAATTGTAGATAAATAGCTTTATCTCCCACTTCCTGCTTCCCTTCCTCTTACCACCTCACTCTCTCTTGCTCATAAACCACTGATGGAGCCTCGTTTCTTTCTATCTTGCATACTGTTAAAATATCATACCACTATGATTATGGATATGCGATGCTAGGCTAAGTCCATCATCCGGACACCTTATTCCTCTACATCTACTCTTTTCTACTCTGGAGCGGAACATGTACGTTCAGCTATTTCGCGGATATCGAAACGCTCATTGTCAAGGTATCCTCTGAGCCCCACGAGGGGGCCCACGCAACAATGGGACTTCTTTTTTCTTCTTTGGGCGACTGCCATTCGACGCCGCCGTCGCGCGCGGTTTCGTAGAGGGGTCGCAAAACCATCATCATATTGTTGCCTTTTATTTTGCTGCTTGATCAAGGGAGTCCCCGTCGGTCGACGCTGTACCGACATCGCTGAGGCAGTCAGATATGATCTCTCAGCAAACCACCGCTCCTCTTAGCATCCCGAAGCGTCGGCCCGGTGCTGACGAATGGGCTGAGTACCGCTCGGCGAAGTTCCTACGTCTCTTGCCCAGGGATGCTGGTACGTGGTCTGGCCTCTTGAAGGGCCGGTGATGCCGTCTAATGGTGGTTTGTTATCAGTTGATGCAAGAAATACCTCTGGCAGAACTCAAGGAGACGCGGGAAGTGGAGCTCAGTTACTTATGCCTGGTTGACATTGAGGATGTCTCCGAATTGAAGGGACCCGAAGGAGACATGTCCACCGACATCCGATGGCATCTGCAACGCATGAGGGAGGAGCCACTGAGTGAATGGGAACCAGAGGAGAAGAATTGTGCGGTTATCGCTCTTTAAGCAAGTCTGCCGGCATGTCGCCAGAGAAAGTTAGATCCTCGTTTCGACGAACACCAACCTGGCCTTCAACGTCTGTTCCCAGCATTTTGGATCAGAGGCGAAAGCAGTGCTCCTCATCCGGGATGAGGACCCCAAGGAGCTCGAAGTCAATGGTTGGATCCCTCCTCCCACAATAGGCAAATCTTCTCCTAAGATTGCTGCCATGATTCTCGGCGGAGGTACATTGCAACTCCAGCCCACGGTTCTCACCGCGAAAGAACAACCGGGATGGAACGAGTTTAGTTACCAGATGGAGACGTCCCTGTCATCCAGCTGATTCGGGCGAACCATCCTGTTCTGAAGCTAAAGAGCAACGCCGTTTCAGGCCAGCTTTCACGCAATTCCTCAACCAACATATCTACCAGGGGGAAATGCGCTGTCACCCAGTGACTAACTCGCTGACGGTCAACGCCGGTTGGGATAGAATGGTCCAGGACGTTTTCCATCCTGGTCGATCAAATTTGGATACTGGGCATTTCGTTCTCAGTCTGAAAAAATCTTCGCGTGTGATAGAGCAGTCAAGTCTATCAAGGTACAATGCTGCTCAATCAGATCTGCGGGCCTAGGGCAGTTGTGGATCCTTTCAAGGATATCGACCCGACGAAAGAGAGATCCAACAAATATTGGGATTTGTTGTTAGGAAGTTGTCCTTATCTGAAGATCAAATTGAATGCCTCAAGTCTTGCATTGCATTCCCTGATGGCGTTTTAATTATACAAGGGTTCCGCGGAACAGGGAAGACCTTCTTGTTGGCGCCCATCGGTCTTGTCTTCCAAATGATGGGTTTTCATATCGTGTACGGGGCACCAACCCACCAGGCTGCGGATGCCAACTGCGAAGCATTGATCAAGCTCATGGAGACTTCGAACGTCAAATGTCGTCTCCTGAGAGTGTATCGACCAGGAACGGAACTACGAGAGGTCCTGTCTGAGTCCAGGTCTGAGGCAACAGCTGAGACGACGGAGCTTGTGTCAGAACCAGAGGAAACAGCTATGTTGATTGAAGCTCAGCTATGTATGCTTCGCATCGTGAAAGAAATAGTTGCTGCAGAATGTACCAGGTACTATGGGCTCCCGCAACTGTCTCTGGAGTATCAAGTACTCCGCGAGATCGAAGCAGCCGAACAAGAGGCGCGTACACTGATTGGCCGATACCCATCGGAAGGACAAAAGGCTCTCTCAGAGGCCCTGGCTGTTTTCGAAGATGTCTCCGAATTGAAGGGACCCGAAGTAGACATGTTCGCCAAACTTCGATGGCGTCTGCAACGAATGAGGGGAAACCATAAAGTGAATCGCCTACAGAAAGGCGATCTGTGACAGGTTGCCGTGGCCCACCAGCAATTTGATAACCATTTGCAGGTCACTAAGGACAAGGTGCAAGACAAAGTGCATCGAAGGAAGAAGGGCGGAAAGAGAAAGCTGCACAAAAAGTTTTCCCTCCTTTATCGTCTGCTGCATGTGACCCTGAGCACCTCCCGGCCGTGCCCTGACAGCGTTGTTTCAAAGATGCCATGAAGAAAGGCGAGGAGTGTGTATGCGAACGCGATGCTTCCTTTCGGAGCGACGGCTCCAGGCAATTGACATTGATAAACGTTTATATTATGTGTTTCCTGGACCCGCAATTGCAGATCTATATCTGCCGTCCTGGCACATTTGCGGACTTTGTGATGATCGCGAAAGCTCATTCTCCGTAAGGTGGATGTTAGTCGACGCTGGGTACTCCAGTACTCTCCTGTGATTTTCCATGACGACCAAGGGATTACAGGGGGAACAGTATCCCTCTGCCCTAGTTTCTACCATGTGGCATTATTAGGCTCCAGAGATTCAGATTCCGGGGTCCCGCAACCTGGTTTGGACCGAGATACGGCTGTGTTAGCCAGCAATTGTGAAGGATCTTGTCCCAATGGCGATTGTTGGCTTGGCCTACCGTCGTGCGAATCTCTCTGCTTCTAAACCACAGCTGAAGCCTCTTCTGAAGCACCTTCTGACCGCATAGAAGCACTCAGTTGCCCGGTTCCCCTTTTCCTCAACACAATCCCTGTTTTGAATCCCAAATTTCTCTTCTTTCTTCCTCTACAGACTATCCGCGCCTGAGGTTCAGACTGAGAGCCTTTATGGCAATCGACAGAACGCTGTTTACAGATCTTGATGAATCAAAGATAATCAAACTAGACATGGGTTTCTACCGCGAAGCTTTGAACCAAGCTGTGCGCTATAGTGGGTTTATCAGAGCTGTTAATGTTATCCGGCCACTTGATAAGGATGAGAAGGAGCCTGATTATGAGTGACTACTTCATTCCTTATACTTACCTGTGATGATAATGGACTTTTGTGTTTCTAAGGGCTATGCTGGAGGATAAGGAAATGGAGGACCTGAGGCTTATCATTAAGAGAGACAATGTACTAGCTCAGATAGTTTAACACCAAGGATTGATCATTCTTTGCTTTTATTTTAGGAATTATAACTTCTCAGCTCTGGAGATTCATATATAAGCCTGAGGAAAGGGTACTAAAGAGGCTTGATATGCTCAAGCTTAAAGCCCTAGTTTCCCGGAGGTTGCGCAGCTAGTACAAAGGCTTTAAAAGAATGTTTAACTCATATAGTAGATGTAGTTCAGTTGTGAGGTAGATAGAGTATCCAACCCACTTCTCGCAGACGAATCCGGCCGAAAATCAGGCAAGGCAACATCTACCCTATATTCGATGGACATGTTCTAACTCATGGCCTAGGTCCCTTGGAAGATTTCTGGACTGCTGACGCCCCTGGCGCTTTTGTGGTGAGATTCATCTATCGCACGTATCACTTTTCTACGGTCACTAATCGATGATCACGCTTAAATAGGGCATGGGAGATGCCGCTGAAGTCAAGGAAGATAACAAGGACCAGACTCAGGATGATTTTATTGCTCTGGCCAAGTCAAAGTCACCGGAATGGCACCATTTCCACAGTCCAAGAGAAAGGTGGATTCGTTTCCAGACATCAGCGACCAAAGTACAGACTCCGTAGCAGAGAAACATCCTTATATTTATTTTTCTGCCGTTGCTGCCCTCTATCCTGTGGCTACTCCAACGGAGGCGTCAACAGCCCTCCCTCCATCATCTTCACCTCACTTTGACCAAAATCAGCAGCTCTCATATCCTCCCCCGCAAAGAACCAAACCACCATCTCCGCCGCAACCTCCGCATCATCCTCCCCATCACCCGCCTCAATCGCCCTCAAATACCCCTCTACCACCTCCCCATCCCACCCCCACCTCCTCCCAAACTCCAAACACGTCTCCCTATTCACAAAAACATCAAACTCAAAGTGCCCCTGGAAAGTCAACACCCGTCCGGGACGATACAGCCCCTGGATAGGACACCGCGGCGTCGAGCCCACATTCACCCAGTCGTCTGGCAGCGCTCGCTCGCATACAACCCAATCCCCATGGACAAGCTGCAGCCTCATCTCCTTCCCCGCTCCCTCTGCCGCAGGCGCTGATATCAGGGATGGTGGTAAAGGAAACCCAAACCTCGTCACAAACTCCCCCTGCAGCGCAATAGCATGCACACCCACCTCGTATCCCCCCGCACAAGCCTCAACCACGCACCCCGGCATGAGCGTCCGCGCGAGCATCTGATGCCCGAAACACGAGCCGAAGAGCTTGATGTGCGGGTACCTCATATAAACAACTTCAAGAAAAGCCTGCAGAGAGGAAATCCACGCGTGTTGGTCTGCGCGGTAGACTGAGGCCGAGGAGCCGGTTAGGAGGATGCCGTCTATACTTTCTTTCCCTCCAGGGCTTGGGGAAGAGGGCTGGAGGAGATGTGCTGGGGGGAAGATACCCCCGACGACATCGTAGGAGGATGTGCTTATTGTTATTTCTTGGCTGAGGGATTGTGAGAGACGTGCTGCGGCGGAGGCGAGGAGATGGGTGAATTGCGAGCTGTAGAGGCCTCGCGTGGCGTAGACTGTTGGGACGGGGACGTCGAGGTCGAGGATGGCGATGTGGAGGTGCATTTCTTCCTTTCTGGTCTTTTTCTTGTGGTTGATTCATGAGTGTATTTTGTATGAGGAGTTGGTTGAGGATGAGAGGTGTGCTGGTGATGTGGTGATAGTTCTCGGATCGGGTTACCGGATTTGGAGAGGTTTTCCTGTTGGTGTTTGGAACTTCGTTGATCTGTAGATACAGACATGATTATGCTAGCGGAACATAATTAGACTATGGTAACTCGCTTGCTAGAACTATATAGCTGATGGGAAATGTATACACCGATAGTGCTAGAGCATGAAATACTCTATCGTACAGTATCATCTTGAAAGTATAGAATGATCACTGACTGAAAAGGAAGTAGTAAATTATGAGAAGCATCAGAAATGCTAGAGCTGGTAGTATTACCCTCAAGATGTATAGCTCTAAGTCAACCAGAAAATAGGATAACAGAAGTGATGTACTACAAAAGAACTTCACATGCTGATTAGATCTTTTAAGTATTGCGGAGTACTCTAGATGCTGCCACATCCCCATCTGATTGCGCCATATCCGCACCACCACTCCCAATGATTCTCTCGCAACACGGAGCCACGAGCCTATAGAATGACAGATGGCCTGGCACGCCATCATCTCCGCTATTGACCAATCATTCATACTTGTACTATATGGCCAGCAAGTATATATACCCCTCACCCGAGGACATACTGAGTACAACGCAACAGTATCAACAGTTGACAGGTGACATGGCCCTCACAGAACTTGCACCTCCCGCCTCCCTCTTCCCCGACGGCCTCAAAACAACAGGCCAACACCCTCCTCTCTACGAGCACCTCCAGCCCTTCGAGCGCTTCCCCAAGGAAATCACAGGCCCTACGGTCTGGACAGCAGCCGAGTACCGCGACCACCCCGAGAAATGGACGCACCGGTTTACCCCAGAGGAACTGGACGAGCTGAGTGGCACAGCGGACGAGTTCATCAGAAATAAGATTCCCTTGACGGGGATTTCACAGGTATCCCTCCCCAAACACCCCTTGTACTTGTTCATGATGATGCTAAGCTAAGTAGAAAAACTTCCCCCTCCCAACCCTAAGCACCCACCTGCTCGCCCTCCGCCACGACCTCCTCAACGGCCGAGGCTTCATTCTCTTCAAAGGCCTCCCCGTCCAGCAATGGGGCAATCACAAGTCCGCCGTCGTGTATATGGGTCTCGGCACGTACCTGGGCTACTTCGTCAGCCAGAACAGCCGCGGCCATGTCCTCGGCCACGTCAAGGATCTAGGCGAGGATCCCTCGCAGATCGACAAGGTGCGCATCTATCGCACCAATGCTAGGTATCCCTTCCCCCCCGCCCCCAGCACCTGCCTCATAGCCCCGAAGATAAGCCAAGCTGATGGACGAAGACAATTCTTCCACGCCGACGACTCGGATATCGTCGGCCTGCTGTGTATCGCGCGCGCGCTTGAAGGAGGCGAGTCGGACCTCGTTTCCTCGCATCATGTGTATAACATCCTGGCGAGGGAGCGGCCGGATGTGCTCAAGACGCTGACGCAGCCGATTTGGTATTTTGATCGAAAGGGCGAGACTTCCCAAGGCCAGGAGGAGTATATTCGGACGAGTGTGATGTATCTCGAGCGCGGCGACAATCCGCGCGTGTATACCAAGTGCGTTCCCTTTCTGCCCTGTTCTGCATGAAATACGGATTGACGAGTGCTACAGGTGGGATCCGTACTATGTCCGCTCGCTGGCCCGCTTCTCCGACGCGGGAATCATCCCCCCGCTGTCTGCGGCGCAGCTGGAAGCCATCCAGGTGCTGGAGGACACCTGTCTGCAAAACGCGCTGCATATGGTTCTGGAGGTCGGCGATATCCAGTTCCTGGCCAATTCGCATGTGCTGCATGCGCGCACGGCGTACAGGGACCATGCGCCTCCTGCGCCGAGGCGGCATCTGATGCGGTTGTGGCTGGCGACGCCGGAGGATGAGGGCGGCTGGAAGTTGCCGTTTTGGGATAGCAATGAGAAGAAGCGAGGGGGAATTCAGGTGGATGATCAGCCTCCGGTGGCGCCGTTGGATGCGGAGTAGTCTCTAGTTGTATGATACCTTCAATGTAATCCATATGGCGAATAATCATTATCATTAGTCGTACGATGGATACAGTTACTGCACTATTTTGTAGTTCCCTCCACTGATAATCTCCAACTTGCCCTTGGCGACCATGCCTGCAAGAAACTCGCGCAGCTCCTCGTTGCTGAATGGAAAGGCCCCCGGCACCGCGATCTTCAGCATCATGACGATGCGCTGCAGCGGCATCGCGCCTTGATTGGTCAACATGCCGACGATAAACTGCCAGTACAGGTTCATCTTCTCCATCGCCGCCGCCTCGGCCGTCTCCTTGGCTGCCGCCGCCGCTGCTGCGTCGGCTGCTGCCGCGGCGTTGGCCTGACCAGGGTCTGTCGCCGATACGCCCGCGGCACCGACGGCTCCCGTGTCATCGTCATTGGGTAGGACCTCCAGAACGCGGAAGGTATTGCGCTGCACTTCGCTCAGGATGCGTTTGCTGACCCAGAAGAGACATGCACTACGCACGAGCGCCGTCGACATGCCCAGTTCGGCCGACAACTCATCCACCGTCTTGGTGGCCCCCTCCCCAGAGCCAAAGGCGTAGATCACGGTGGCCTGCCAGGTCGTCACCTCGTCCACAAACACTCGGTCCTCGAGATCCAGCTCGACGGTGACCTGTCCCATCCCGTTGAGCCAGGTGAGTTTCCGGGACTGTTTGAGCGATCCGAATCCCGTGGCATACCGCTCCTGCAGCGCCGCAATTTCCGGGGGTACTTTGAATTCCTGTGCGGGAAATTCCGGCCAGAAGAAGTGTGAGAGGATCTTCGCATGCAGCTCAGGCCTGGTCTCGTCTTCCTGCTGGACGAGCCCTTGGTCGTTGCGGACCACGGCATCGACCCGGCGAGAGTCAAAGATATCCCGTAACATGACTTCGCATGCCTGCAGGGCATTGTCACCGAAGCGTACTTTGAGCAGCTCCAAGACGGACGTCTCCTGCTCGAAGTCTGCGCGTTTCTGGAGAAGGCGCTCGGCCAGCATGTTTTGCATTTCCCTGACAAACGTCTCTTTGGACTCGAAGAGACTGATCAGACTGCCAACGACGTCGGAGCTCTTAGATTTCCGGTAGTCCGGCGCTGCGTCCACCGGGTCCGGCATCCAGTTCATATCATCCCAGTCCAGCTCGCCAGTGTCGGCCCGCAGTGAGTTCTGATGTGCTTTGGCTAGCTCGGCGGATAGCTCCGCAAGTGTCTCTCCGGTAGACGGGAGATGGGGCTCGTCCGTGTCCGAAGGATCCGCCAGAAGCCCGCCCACAATGACCTTGACAGTATCATCGCGATCGCGTAGGTACCTGCGAATGGGCCGAGCAACTCGGTCGAGCAAAACACCCTTGGGATCTAGTAGGTTGAAAGCGCGGATGATGGAGATGTACACTCGTAAGATGTCAATGGTCGACGCCCCGGGATGCAACAACCGTTGGTTGAGCACCTTGATGAACGCTTGCGTCAGACAGTACCGTGCGCCCGGATGGGTCGTAAAGTGCCGCAAGTCCTCAATTGCACCGCTGCTCGCAGGCCACTCGACAATAATATCAAACGGCTCCCGGGTTCGGAGTGACCCCAGGCGTGAGATTCCCATCTCCTGCCACTTCTCCACATCGGCTAAACTCACATCCAGACGGCCAGACCCATTCGATTCAGTCTCGTCGTGGTTGATGATGGCCAGAACTTGCACAACCAGCCGCGCAAACACATTTTCAATCCATTGTCGCAGGTGCTGGCTGACCAACGACGGCCCCTCCCACTGGTTGGCGTATGCAGATTCAATAAATACCGTCAACATCATGTCCATCACACTGGCAAAAACTTTTTGCGCCTTGTCCCCGCCTAAACCAACGCGCTGCAGGCTCCTCAGTAGGGACAGCAGGCGTTGGCGGGTAGCAACGACGCGCACGTCCTCGTACTCTGTCATCATCTGCATTCGAATCTCCACGGACGGCTCTTCCCGCCAATCCTGGTAGGAGACAGAGTACTGCCGGTCGACGTCCATATTATCCACACTGACGGTATCGTCAAAGTTTGCTTCCTCATCCAGCGCGTCAATCCCCAGGATAATGAGGGCGTCCTTTGTGAGCTCTCGGAAGAGCAATTCGGATACTCGTGTCCAGGGCAGGGCATACCCCACCACCATCTGGAACGTATACGCCATTGCACGAAGCTCCCGTTCTTGATCGGCAGGGTTCAGGAGTGGTAGTAGGTACTCCACAAACGGAGCAAAGTACACCCGCCGTGCAAGTCCTAGGATTCGTACAATACTCTGTAACTGCCCCTTTTCCTCTGAGTCCAACACCTAGTATTATCAGAACTATCCATGATCGTCATCATCATTAGGTCAAATACCTTTGTCAGAACCTCGTGAAAGTTGCGTAGGAAATGTACCCGTATCTCTAGGCGGTACCACTCGAGTATACTCTGCTGCTCCGTCGCGAGACTTTCCCCCTTGGCCAACGGTAGAAACAAATAGTCCAATGCATCCTTGACCTCTTTCGTGAAGCTCGCATGGCCCCTCCATCGCTGCAGAAACTCCTCATCGTCATCTGACCGCGTCAAATCCGCAAGCCCTTCGCTCGGTAGGCGCAGAAACCCGGTCGCTACATGCCACGCACGATCCCAAGTCTCCTTGTCATATTGCTCCTGGTCATCAATCCTCTCAGACTCGGAATGATGCGGACTTTTTGCGCTGGCTAACCGAGACGCCGGCGCGGTGGTGAAATACGCGGGTGGGAAGACGGAGCCGAAGACGCGCTTGCGGCTGGCAGATATGGTCGAAGGCATGGCAATGAAGACGAGATCAATCCGGACGCATCGTGGGGCCGATGGTCATGAATCGCCGCCCTTGTACGTCGTACAGGGCTATATTTGTGGCTTCTCGTGCTCGCGGTGAGGTCGTTCATCTATCGCTATCGATCGATGTTGTCGCGTGGGCGCCAAGGAATCGCGCTATCACGTGATTTACGCTTATCGCATATAGGGAGCAGATTACAGCGATTACAGCGATTACAGCGATCAAAAGGAGGGTTATTGTTGAGAGGAATTGAAATACGCTTTAAATGCATAGGCTGTAATAACAAAATATGTATGCAATATGCAAGTAATCGCCACCGATCGTTATCTATGGGTATCAACTGAGGAGATCGGATGCATATGGCGCGGAGTACTCGTAGATCAACAGAGATGTATCACAGAGCTCAGCAAACTCCTGACAATGTCGTTGATGCACAGGTTCAAGGACTGGCTAAGGACCATTGTTATCATCGACCTTCTCCCACTCACTATCCGTGCTATGGTATCCCGAGCTATCACCACTCACGCTGAGTCGCTTTCGCGCCTGCGATTCAGTCGGGGGCTGGAGAGTAGCCGACGCAGAGGCTGTGGTAGGAGCAGCGCTCGTGGCAACGCCTGTGGCAGCTGTGGCCTTGCTCTTCTCCTTGACAACCTCAGTCTCGGTATCACTGTCGCTGCTGTCCAGGGCCCCCGGTGGCTTCGTGCTACCACCCCTCCGCTCCTTGTCCTCGTGTGTCTCCCTGGGCGCCTCCTGTGCCTGTACCTGACTCAACTCCTGAGCAAACCAGTTGATCGACCACCATAGAGCCGCGGAAAGAACGGAGAGCACGACGAAGTGGATGCTGTATGTAGCTAGAAGGAGCGCGAGCAGGAGGACTTGCAGGGCGGCGAAGGTGACATTGGTCGCGATCAGGAGCGACGGGGTGGGACCCGGGGTAAAGATGCTCGACCAGAGATCCTCCACAAATGATCCCATGTTTGATTACGGCAACTGACAAGGGCAAGGTGGGTGGATCAGGCTGCAAGAGGTTCTTGCGGGGTTGATGGTAAAGCTCGGTTTGTTGGACAGGGTCAAAGGAGCAATGACGTTGAGGGTCGGAAACTGAAATCCGTCGAATCCGCTGGGTCAGCAAGGTTACTGCATGGATAGCATTAGTGATGCTCTATGCTCCTGGGAGTAGAGACACAGCGAAAGAGGGTCACAAACTGGGATGACGCTTCGTAGAAAGCAAGAACTGCAGTCAAGCTTGCTGCAGTGATGGGATTCCAAAGGAGAGAAGTTGACGCAGGCTGAGAAGTGGTGACCTGCATGCACCTTCAGAAAGTCGGCGGATGACCGAGAATTGACGGTCGGCGTTTGACTGGTGATGATCCAAGTGGGGAATAAACAGAGGACGGCTGGAATAAGCCCCAGGATTTGCAAGGAATCAAGGTGAGATTTTAGTTGATTCAATAGCTGTCTATCTACCCCGTGGGGATGATCCAGATGGAGGCTAGGAATATGGATAGGTTGCGAATGCGATATATTGTAGGGAGGGCTTTGTTGACACAAACAGCGGATGAAGAGGGGCATCAGTTGCAACTGACGCTAGCACTTTTTAAGCGGATTAGGTATCTAGAGGCAGCGTCAGGTAGATATCTATCTAAATACTAGATTAGAAAGATACAATTACTCCTCGTCCCTAACACCGAAGGACCTTGCCCAGTAAGCTACTCCGTACAGTCTTCGTGACTGCTGCGGGTGACAGCGACGAGCACGAAATGAGGCAGATCACGTTGGATTTACCACTGCAACTGCAACTAAGCACGGGATAATCATCAGCTTGCTCGTATGTCTATCCTCGAATCATTTTCCGATCGGTTTTCGCCCTGAGCTTCCTCCACAATTTCCTTGCCGTCGGGCCGACTACTGTTGCCATTTGCCAACCATTTCCCTGATGGTCGTCGTCATGGCTCGTCTCGTGTGATCAGCACGTGCCGTCCATCTACACTGTCACGGGATTCCTTCCATGATGAGATGCTTGAATTTGAGCAGTACACAGAATCGACTAAAGCAGTCAGCTATCAATCCGACCTGAAGGAAGATGTTCTATGGCAGACACCTTGATTCTAGTCAATTCGAGCATCTACAGCCCTGGTTTGACTTTGGCTGGCCCATGAATCCAACCCCCTCTAAAACGCCCCGTCGAGCGCCAAACCGATCCGATACCCACTCGGTTATTTCCTATTTGGGTCAAGAGTCTCCTCTCACTTCCAATAGCCGTCTACTGCAAACGGCCTCGCTGCTATTCGGCAGTCTCTCGTTGCGGATCTACATCTCCTTGACCCCAGCATCGTCCAGTCATTGTTACCTGATTATTATTAGGGTTTGTTTCTTCTTTGCGCTTCTGTGCTTCCCCGCCTCAGAATCATGGCTCGGATAGTATCCGATCACCGTCCTACCCCAATGTCTACGAATCAGCGAGCCTGGTCGGTCTTTGCACCTGTCCAAGTCTCAATCACAAATGGACGGCCCTGTTTAGACCTATATAAATCGTGTTTCGGCTCTGTAGCTTTTCCCTGTCCTCTCCTATCTGACTAGCCACAAGTCTTGTCCTCCGCCACAGCCTTATTGATCACTCCCTTCACTCTCTCTGCCTCTACTAGCCAGGTATGACAGACAAACATCCTGACCTCACCAAGGAGGTCTCCCCAGACGGTCCTGTAGGGTTCAGCCATCATGCAGAGGACGTTATGACCGACCGAGAGCCCTATGGGCCTCCCGGTCTTCGTGGTCTAATCTCCAACCCGTTTGTCTTCCTCTGTGCGGCATGTTCGACGCTTGGTGGTCTGGTCTTTGGCTACGATCAAGGTGTGGTGTCCGTCATCCTGGTTATGGACCAATTCCTGGAACGCTTTCCGGAGGTATCTCCTAACGCATCCGGTGCTGGTTTCTGGAAAGGTCTCATGACGGCCATGATTGAGCTGGGGGCTCTCCTTGGTGCACTCAACCAGGGATGGATCGCGGACAAGATCTCGCGACGGTACTCGATCATTGTTGCCGTCATCATCTTCACGGTTGGGTCTGTGCTGCAGACGGCCGCGGTCGACTATCCCATGTTGACTGTGGCTCGATTTATTGGAGGGGTGGGGATCGGTATGCTGTCGATGGTTGCTCCGTTGTACATTTCCGAGATCAGTAAGTGGCCTGGTGATTCCCAGTCGGGATGGCGCTGACAGATTGCAAGGCCCTCCGGAGTGCCGCGGTACTTTACTGGTGCTGGAAGAGTTTTGCATTGTCCTTGGCATCGTCATCGCATACTGGATCACATACGGCACCCGATTCATGGCGGGCGAATGGTCCTGGAGACTCCCCTTCCTCCTGCAGATGATTCCCGGCTTTGTCCTCGCAGGCGGTGTCCTCGCCTTGCCCTTCTCTCCTAGATGGCTCGCGTCCAAGGGACGAAACGAAGAAGCCCTGCAGAGTCTGTCCAAGCTGCGTCGGCTGCCTCCATCCGACAAGCGGGTCCGTCAGGAGTACCTCGACATCCAAGCCGAGGTCCGCTTCCACCAGGAACTGAACGCAGAAAAGCATCCTACCCTCCAAGGAGGCGGCACCCGGAAAACCTTGCTGCTGGAAATGGCCTCCTGGGCAGACTGCTTCAAGAAAGGATGCTGGCGACGAACGCACGTGGGCATAGGCCTCATGTTCTTCCAGCAGGTGAGTAACTGGCATTCTTTTCTCCCTCGATCCCCGCTTACACACCCTAGTTTGTCGGCATCAATGCCCTCATCTACTACTCCCCCACACTCTTCGGGACCATGGGCCTAGACTACAACATGCAACTCCTCATGTCTGGCATCCTCAACATAACCCAGCTCGTCGGCGTCATGACCAGCGTCTGGACAATGGACAGCCTAGGCCGCCGCGTCCTCCTCCTCTGGGGCGCCCTCTTCATGACAATCTCCCACGTCATCATCGCCATCCTCGTCGGCCTCTTCTCCAACAACTGGCCTGCCCACCGCGCCCAAGGCTGGGTCAGCGTCGCCTTCCTCTTCTTCTACATGATCAGCTTCGGCGCCTCCTGGGGTCCTGTCCCCTGGGCTCTTCCTTCGGGTATGTTTCTGCTGCGCGCATCTCCTCACCCTAGTCCAGAACAGAACTAAGCAACAGCAGAGATCTTCCCCTCCTCCCTCCGCGCCAAGGGCGTCGCTCTCTCCACCTGCTCAAACTGGCTAAACAACTTCATCATCGTAAGCTCCCACCAATCATCCATCCAACCTGACACAAGCTAATGGCGGTAGGGTCTTATTACCCCGCCCCTGGTCGAAAACACCGGCTACGGCGCTTACGTCTTCTTCGCCGTCTTCTGTCTCCTCGCGCTCGTCTGGACCTTCTTCTTCATCCCCGAGACCAAGGGCCGCACGCTCGAGCAGATGGACCACGTCTTCAAGGACAATTCCAGCGAAGAGGAGAAAGCGCGCCGACATGCTATCGAGGCGGAGCTGTTGCGCGCGGAGTATGAGTATCGGAATGCGGATGCTGTGGCTTGATTTGTGCTAGGGAGTTTGTGAACAGAAAGTCCACGGGTGGACTTGGTTCTTCACTTCTTGATTGTACATCACTTGAACAATAGCTAGCATATAACGATGATTATGACTACTCTCACTGTCCTTCCACAAGCAAATAGCAATTCTTCAAGGAAATGTCTTCTTCACCGTCTTGATAGTCTTCCGTCAGGATTCATACAAGTCCTCACTAAAGCGTCCTCTCACAGATGCATTCCCTCAAATGGCGCCTCCAAATCATCCGCCCTCACCACCCCCTCCGCAACCCGGTGCTCCCTCCCCCCAACCGGCTCCCCACACTCAGGACACACCGTCTGCACCATCGCACCACCGCACTCCCCGATCGTAAACGGGTGTCCATTCCGGCAGTAATACCAATGTCCCGTGCCATGGAACTCGCGCGCCATGGCCGCTACCACCGCCATGCGCTCCTCGTTCGTCACCACTGCATAAAAAGTCGAGTCGCGGAGCATTTTGTCAACGCCCTCTATATCGGGCAGAAGCCCCCTCGTCTGTGTTGGGTGCTGCGTACAGAGGGACCGCGCGCGAGCGACGGCGGCCTGCGCTTCTTGAAGGTGTGTCTCCGCAGCTTGTGAAGAAAGGGTCTGGGATCTTTCGAGGACGTGGAGGTGCGCAAGGAAAGTGTGGCCCTCTGCTTGCTGGCGGATACGGCCGGACACGTCTGCGAGGTTTATGAGTGTGGAGCACTCGTCTCTTGCGTCTTGTAGGTTGAGGGAGATAGTGATATTGCCCGTTTGTGACGAGCCGCGGTCCTTGACGGTAAGGAAATCAGTTAGCAGGGCGATGTCGAGACGGAGGTTCAGGGCCGTTGCGAGGAGGACGCCCTTTGATTGGAGGATGGTGTTGTCGAAGTCAAAGTCTCCGTCGGTCTTGTTCCTTCGTTTGGCGTTTTCGACCATGCTGCGGACGCGGTCGTAGGGCTGTTCGTCCAAGGCTACTCGTTTGCGGTAGGCGACGACCTTGTCGCGGAGCTTGGTTATATCCTTCCACCGGCCAGGGGATGTATGTTGAACTAATTCCGTCATTGTCTTGACATTCTGCTGAATTGAGCCTTCGAGTTGCAGATGGTCGGGCCAGACTGGTCCTTTTCTACCTGCAACGTCTGTTTCCTGCATTAGTTTTACCTGTCGGGCGAGTTCCTCCTCCAGGGGAACGTATTCGCGGTTCAGGTAAAGGATGAACTTCTTGGTGGATTCGTCGAGGAGCGCTCGACGCACAAGTCGACCGTATCTGGCAAGATCTCTCAGTGACCCACGACAGGTGGCACATGTCTTGATATCGTCCATGGAGAACGGGCGCGACGCATCGTTGATCGACATAGGTCTTCCTTGTTCGTCGAGTTCGTAGTGCTCTTGCAAGGCCATTTGCCCGTCCATGCTTTCCATCGTCAAGAAATGACCACACCGAGGGAAAATGCACGGATTCTCATCCAGGTTGATGTTCTCGTATGTCTCACCCAGTATAAAGTCCACAACCTGGTGTTTGATTTCTTCGCTTCCACAGGTCTGACAGTACTTTTCAGACGGGCACCTCTCGCCACATAACGACGGACATTGGTGACCACACTGCAGCTTCTGGTCGCACCGTTTGGAGCACGGAATGTGGTTGCACGGGGCGGCGCAAGGCATCGTGCACGCACTGTGTGGGCATCTGGAGAAGCATTGCTCTTCTGCGCATGGGGTGCATGGCTCCCGGCATTTCCTGGTACATTTAGAGTGACTGCACAGTACGTCGCAAGGTTCTTCGCACGGGGGACAAGGCTCGTCGCCATGGCAAACCGCAGTGCAGAAGTGAGCGCAAGTTGAGTGCTTGCGGCCGCACTTTTGCTGACAACTTCCATGGTCGATGCGGACATCCTCCCAATCAAGAAGCTGTAGGCAAAGGTGGCATAGCCGCTTGCATGTGTGTCCGCAAGTCAAGAGTGCACTACACTGTGCGGTACACTTGAAAGTAGCCAATCTCACATCTTGATGGCATTCCACCGTGATCTCATGCTTGCAACGTTCGACTGTCTTGGTAACAACCACCTTGCAAAAAACGGTGGACAAGTCCTGATCTTGCCAGCAGGGCAAAGTCGGCATGGAATGGCCGCACTCGAGCTTCCTGTCCTCCTTGTACACAGTCACCATACACCTGACGGGGCAAGGGTCACCGCACCGCTTCACGCACGGATGGGTACACCCTTTGCGCGGACGAGGGCACGACTGTGGACAATACACGGCGTTGTGAAGCAGTTGCGAATGGCACTTTTGCTCACAAGCATGGCCGCAGGGAAGACGCTTGATGCAGCGCAGACTACAACCTCCTTCTGGGGATAGCTGCAAAAAATGGTTAGGCTCAGAGACAAGGAGTGGTGTATCAGGGTGACGGGGACACTGCAACTCCAGCTGTGATCCTATATTGCCCGACTGCCGAAGGATGTCAATGACCTGCGCCCACATGGGGACGTGAGCACAAGTCTCGGAATTGCCAATGATGTACATTCCATGCTGAGCTCGTGATAGGAGGACGTTTATTCTGTTTGACGTACGCAAGAACCCGCAGCGATTTTGAGAGTTACTCCGGACCAGCGATATCACGACGACTTTGGCCTCTTCACCTTGAAAATTGTCTATGGTCGCGACTCTCAAAGTTTGCAGTAGGGTAGCTCTCGCGGCCGTTTTGGCAACAGTTTTACCAGCTTCAAAGCCAGCACTCTCGAGCTGGTCGGCATCTCGTTCTCCAAGTGTGACGGTGAAGTGTTGCGAGAACAGCTGACGTAGTCGATGGAGTTGACCCAGGTATGGAGTAATAACAGCAATCTCGCCGCTCTGATATTTGCCTTGGCTCACGAGATGATTGACCACGGCGATTGTCATCTGGATCTCGTACTCATTCCAGTGGGAAGTCGCCAGCAGACTTGTATTGGCTGCATCCGCCTCCGGCTCGCGATGGTCCAGCCAGAACAGTCTTCGGCGCACACCCACAACTTCTGGATAGCTTGACACGGATTCTGCATCTTCTATTTGAGGATATAGAGTGTCCCGAATAAGTTGGGCGATGGAGGGATGCATCCTACGCTGCGTTTCCAGTGTGCTGAACGGAAGACCTAAACCCATGGCACTCTGCTGTTCCACCAGTCGCTCAAACAACGAAACGTCCAGAGAGTACTTTTCGCCACCTCTAGGATTCTCGCGTGAGAGCTCGTAATTTTGAACCTGCGGACGGAGTTGTAGGTGATCACCAATAAGGATGGCGTGTTCGACCGAGGGCAACAGAGCTGTGAGAAGGTGTGCTTCCAGGACTTCGCCGGCTTCTTCACATATCATCACTTTGGATTGTAGCTTTCGCAGCATGTTTAAATTCCTAGCGAGACCGGATGTGGTGACTCCAATAACATCAGCATCTGCCAGACAGCGAAGATCCACTTCGTCCCGAACGTTGTCGAAATTGGCTTTGGCTCTATGGTGTGCCGAGCAGAGCTGCGTGACTTTATCATGCACCAGCTTAATGACTTCTTTCGTCCATATCTGGTACAGAGCTTCTCTTTCTTTTTGGGACAACCGGGACGGATTTAGTGACATGAGCACGTCGAAAGCTCGTATCTCATCTCCTGGTCCCCCAGCCTGAACCCAACGCCTGATCACGTCACTAGGCTTGCCATGCTGAACCGTCTCCCAACCGTCTTCGTCTTTACCGAACAGACCAGAATAATAGCGCGGATATACTTCATGCAGGTGAGGGATGAGATGAGTGGCCAACAAGTCCTGGTTGATTTTCAGGGCAGAGAACTCTTCCTCGCACTCCTCTATCTCGCAATGGAGGCGATGTTGGTCTTTTCGCTCCCTCTTTGTCTTCTCGGCATCCTTCGCAATGTGTCGCAGATTGAGAAGCCTCAGCTGGTCAGACTTGGACTGCGAACCGATCCGGATTATCTGAGACGTCACTCCTTTGTCAATAAGAGCTTCCAACAACTGATCCAGAGCATGGTTCGTATAAGTAACACATAACACAGGACCAAGATTTGTCTTTCCTTGCTTCTTATTTGCTAGAAGGACTCGGATAAGCGCAACGCCTGTGTAACTCTTACCCGTACCAGGAGGCCCTTGGATCAAGCCAATTCGGTGTTGAAGGCTATGGACCAAGGCCCTCGCTTGGGCGCTGTCGAGGGCTGAGTTGCGTTGCAAGCATTCTATATCGACTGGTTTATTGGCTTGGATAAATAAATCGGCCTTGTTATTCATCAAGCAACGAAGGTTAAAGCGAAATCCGGGTCTCAACGCATAAAGGGGAGGAGGAATGTCAACTGGTCCAACATCGCCGTTCGGGACCAGAATCTCTAGGAATGGTAGTTCCCTGTTCTCCTTAATCTTCTTCAGTGCTCGCAAGGTCGGTTCGAAGCCAGCCAGTAGGATACCTGGGAATTCGACAACAGAGAAATCCCGTTTATTCAGGACCTTGTTCAATATTGTGCGGACCATGCCAGGTTTCGTATCGACCAGCGTCATTTTGACTGAAGCTTCATTCGGGTTAGCCCACAGGGATGCTCGATTCTCACTTTCTTTACTGTCATCGTCTGTTTGCTTTTTGGAGGACCTGACTTGGTCGTCCACGATGGTACAGAAGACGACAGTCCTTCCATTGCGTCCATTCATGATGAGACACACAAGAGCACCGGATTGCAAACGCTTCGACAACTGCCACCAGTTTTCCCGATCCTTGGCCGACATCTCACTGACGCGTGGCGGTTGAGGAAATTGGACTTTGAATTGGAAGCCAAGGAATTTGTCAAAGTAGATCTGTCCGATCTTTGCATGAGGATAGACGTGCGTCCGGACCTGGGAGATCCGTCCGCCTGATCCCTTTGACCCCTTGAGCTCCTGATGAATAGCATCGCGCAGCTGACCGATTGTATCTTCCCTTAGTAGACGGAAATTCCGATCCACCAATCCCTCCAGACCACCCACATGCCACTGACCAGGATCATTGACGGGTAGGTATTCGATACGCGAACTCTGGATCTCATCTAGGGTTGGCATGATCGCTATCTCCACAATATCGGCATGATCGTTATCATGTCTGCCACCGGGGGGTTCGCGATGTACGGTAAATGTTGCAGTAGACTTCGGTTCACATTTGAGCTTATCGTTCGCAGGTGCAGATGGTAGCAAGCTGCCAATTTCCAATCGGCGCAGAAGGTGATCGAGAAGATTGCGCGAGTGGTGGAGAGAGCTTGCCAGGCCACTCTCGGTCATCTGGAGAAAGAGCTGCTGAAACCTGTTTGCTTGGTCTTTGAGTGCGTCCTGAACGAATGCGGTGGAGTTGAGATCGACGATTTTTGTAAAGACGAGCAGTGAAACTTCCAACCACTCCACGGTTGTCTCGTCGTTGCTGGTTTTCGATAGCACATCGCATATTGAGCTCAGGAATAGCGCTGCCCTGCGACCATTGATACCAAACAGCACGTTGAAAATAGTTCCCACTGCTTGTTCCAAGATCAGCGAGGATAAAACCTTAGGGTGCGAGACGGTTTCCAGCAGAGGAAGGACCTGTGACCGGAAGACTTCTTCCTTTGCCTTCGACTCAGCCTTGGGGAATCTCTCCTCCACGAGATCTCGGATATGTTCCAATCCTGTCTCCCCAGCTAGTTCGCGTATCACTCCTTGCATAAGACCAGCGTCGACTTCGACGAACTGTCGAGCATCCCGGAAGAAGTTCCCCAACTTCGCGCGACCTGGTCGAGACGAACGGGAGTCTGTGGTTAGGGTATCCTTCCAGGATCGAAATCGTTTCTCTGAATCTGACAGCTCCGGTCTTTTGGGTCTCGCCGCTCTCGCGTCTTGTTTTGGTCGATCGTCGTCTCGCCTTCCGGGGTCATTTACGTGTTGAAACTTGCAGTTCTTGAAGGAACAGGCTCCCCTTTTGGCAAAATCCCTGCAAATCCTGAAGGCCGTTAGTATTGTGTTCCCAGTATTGGACTGGTCCGAGGGACGTACTTGGTTCTTGCCATGTTTACGGTCGACGTGTCTCGCTAGGTGAAAGCCTCCACTACTAATGCTCTATAACTGAGTGAAAAGAGTTGACTGGGATAGGAGAAGAATGAAGAAGTTCCAGGTGGTTAGGCTTTGATGTGTTAGATTGGAAAGTCAAGTCGTCAAGATGGAAACGTAAAGCTATGAGAGCAGAGTGGTAGATAAAAGAAGAAAACCAAAAGCAAGGTAGAGGCGAGAAGGAAGTGGAAGGTGACGAGCTCATCTCGTTGTATAAAAGCAGAGCACAACAGATCTGATGTTTTAGAGTGAGGGCGCCTTGCACTGCGGCAACTGGGAGCGCAAAGAATTGTTTTGAGACATTTACAGCCAACAAACTGTCTTCCAAAGCAATGCCTTGTGTTGGAACAAAGTCCTGAGCAGTATGTCTCCAGCCTCTTGCTATGAGCAGGCGTTCTTGTATCATCGCTAGATGAGCTGCGCCACTGGAAGCTGTGCCACTGCAGTCTCCGATGCTGATAACCACTCATTCTACCTTCTATACTCACTCTCTGGAGGTATGTTTGGTGTTCCCCTTGGCAGTAATTGCAAGTTGACTCACATCATTCCTTTGTCCCAGCAGGTGGGTGAAGTGCTCCGTCATCTAGCTGACCGGACGCTCAAAGGAATTGTCACCAACAGGAAGGTACTACAGCGATTTACTCCTCTGGAGAATACCCAGTTTGGTCAGCATTGTCATCACTGCAGCGTGGTTGATCCCACTGCAGATTTGCTGTCCCTCGTTCAGAACTTGTCCTCTTATCTTTCGGGCTCTGTCTCCCTTGCGACATTCAATAATAACTCAGGTTACCAGGCCCGGCTCGGAGGCCTTCCCTCACCTTTCGGCCAACCATACACTAGCCCAGCTACATACGCGGGTTTCCTGACCGCCAGACTGGGCTGTCTCTGGATGAAGCGGAGACCAAGTGATCTGATTCCTCTGATAAAACCTCATCTATATAACATCTGATTACAACCATTATATCAGCCAGCAGGCGGATGGAACGAATACGGTGGCGGTGGATCATTCTCCGGCGCACTTCTCCTCCTCGTCCTCTCCTGCAGAGGAATCTGCGACCCCCAGTAGAACCCCGCTCTCTCTTTATAATTCCTCGCCATCCTTTGCTCATACCAGATGATTAACCCCACAATCACAATGCCGGCGATACTCACTCCCACCGCTATCCCAGCCTTCGCGCGAGTGGTCAACCAATGCCCGCTTGTGCCTGTCACTCCTGTCCCGTTGCAGCTGGAGTTGGAACTCGGGGCTGCTTTCTTGATGGCGCTCTGGAAGGGACTGCAGTCTATGGGGTTGGTGGTGTTGATTGTGACGCGAGTGACCTGGGTGAGGGAGGGAAACCCGGCGCTACAGCAAGTGAGTTTTAGGCCAAATGGTGTATGATAGATCGTACCTTTTGATGCTTCCATTCAGCTGGATGGTCTCCGCGGAATATAAGCTTGTGAAGTTGACGTCTAGAGGGGATGAGGACTCGACTGTGATGTTACCCTGGGTTGATTGTAGGGAGTCCAGAGAAAGACTATCTCGTTAGCATGCAGGTATCGTACAAGGTGTGCCTATGATGGATATACCTGGATATTGCACCCTGGAGATCGAGCATATCGCCCACTGAGTGTAGCTTTGGTAGATTCAGGTCCAAAGGCGCACCGTAGTTATGAATCGAGAGTCCCGATGGGCCAAAATACTCCCTTGTTTGGATGTTGACCGTTTCGAGGACAGGCATCGAGAATCTAGCCACCGTCAGTTCGGAGACGAGAGACGTATATGCATATGCTGACGACGCACTCTGTAATTACTCCGGCGAACCGGATAAAAGTCGCAGATCTCAGGGCGGGAAAGCTAAGCGGGACTTGACCATAGGCCTCATTATCGAGGTACTTCGTGGCGATTGTATCAGACCCTTGTATGCTGAGATTGCCATTGACTTGCTCCAAAGAGTCAAATCTCACACTAAGCTGGTTAGTTTCGTGCCCGCTGTCAAGGCCCTGCAGGAACGGAATGAATACCTCGAGTAGTTCCCCGCCAGCGAGATACTCGTCGCTTGTATCAACGACCGAAAGTCTACCGCGCCGGTCAACGGTACAGTCAGATTGATCGAGCCGACGGCAGTCGCTTTGGGGGCGGATACATCTATTATGTCTGGACTACTTGGGAGATGAACCTTAATGCCTCCCAGGTGCAGCACGTCCGGCAGCGAGATCGACGTGAGTTCAAACGTCTCAGTAGGGGCGATATAGGTGATGACTCCGCTAATACTGGTGACATTGGGGAGAGAGAATGATCCGTTGAAGCTTTCCAGTAGAGTAATATCATCGTCAATTGTGGTGCAGTTATGCGTGGAGAACCAGTTCAGGTCATTGGACGAGGCGAAATGGAATGCGGCGGGTGAGTTTTGAAGGTTGGGATCAGTGCTCCGCTCGCAGGTTGTCGCAGCGACAACTGATCAAGTCAGATTCATGGGCCTTATTGAGAGTAAGCGTACTTACATGGCAATACAGAAACTATCAGTGCTATGACTGAACAACGATGGAAATGTGCCATCGTTTAGCATCAAATTGAGATGCGGAGTAGATAAGAACAATCTGGGGGAGAAGACGACTGGGCGTCTGGGGCCTGGGCATGATAAGTGTCTAGCTAGTTATTAATAGGAATAATGGCTTGAGTTGGGCGCTCTTGGACCCTGGCCAGCAGAGTTAGAGAACAATCTGCAGTGGCGGCTCGTCTTATGCCTTGGCGCCTCAAGAGGGGTAGACGAGTAGTAGACAAGCATCAGCCGGCTAAAAGGCAATCTGAAGTGCTCAGTAGTCTTTTAAGCTTCTAACTCATCGAATAAAGTGCGGTGAAGTAGCAAGAAATGAGGCTGTGTTAATGCGTGTCTGATATTTCTCGATTGAGGCCCTCGCACAAGGTGGTCAGATTTAACAGTCTATCAGGCTTTGTTGGTAGGACTGTCAATTCATGATAGCTTGATTCGTCACGAATCTCACGATATTCAAATTCAGAGTTATCGCCAAGGCACGAAATGTATAATGTGTTAAGTCCCGTTGGATACCCAGAGTGTCGTCAAACTCAATCCGATGGACACATCCGAGGTCGGAGATGTAAATGTATAAGGGATAGAAGGTTATCTGGTAGTTATCGGTTTCAGTATTTTCCTTCTGATCAAGTAATATGGTACAGGTATCGATCATATCCATGGAACTCTTATATACATCGATTTGTACCCCCACGTAACAGCAATAACAGCAACGTCGTGTACTTCCAGTGAAACCCAACTCGTGTATGCACTCCTTGTCCGAGAACCAGTATCGATAACTCGTTTATGAGGGGACCATTATGCAGCAGCGGTAGGAGTGACATAAGTCCCAGTAGCAGTGGTTCCACTGCATTGACTCGAGGCCGTATTAGCAGTCGACGGCGTCGGCAGTCTTATACATAGACGGACAGGAGTGCCTATGACGCAGCGACGGACATACTCTGTTCATTCCATGCAACAGGAAGCAGGCGACGGGCTGATCTCCCAGGGATGAATCGATTAGCTAACTTGATGATCGACAACCAGTCCGAAAATGATTGCAGAACAGCTGATCCGGGGAACCATTTGACCCGTACAATTGCCCAAGCCATCCGGTCGAACAGATCATCCTACTCCCCGAAAATTCTCATGCTCAAGGACGACGAAGCGACAGCTTCGGGAGCCAGTGATAACCTCTGAGGTATTCTACTACAGGACATTCATTAGACTGACCTGGAAGAGGAGCAGATTCATATACTCAGGACAATTAGTACCATTCCAACAAGATTTATGTCCTGTTATCCAGAAGACGGCCATTGCAAATCTTCTGGAATCTAGAGTACAAGATGCATAAGCCGAAGAGCACGAGATTCCATTTCTGAGTTGCTCCGGCCTTTGTCATTGACCTTGACAATGAGCACACTGCATATCGTCGATCGGTCGTCCACCCGAGCCGGACAATCATCATGTTTTCATTCCTTAGTTATGCATGCCCTCAGTCCTCAACTCCACAGCAGCAGTGGACATTCAGATTAAGCATGGCCAACTCCGATAGATGAAAAAATAATGGTGCAAACTACTATTATCCAGTCAGGTTGTCTCATGCATGTTGCCAGGTAAGACATAATGCAAAGCGACCCTAGTCTTATCATGGATGCAGCGTGGTCGTGAGATGAATTGTGGAAAGACTCGGACAGTGAGGAGGAAATACAGTGTCAAAGGACGCATGATTTTGCAGCTTAGATAAACTCAAGATGCGCGTTCTCTGAACAACAACTTCCCCGTACTGAAACCCTAACCTTACTTCAGGCAGTCAACGTGAACTTTCAGCCAGAAGTATACCTCTAACTCTATAACGGACCGCCTAAAGAAATACAAATTATCAGTAGATATTGAGAGCCATGCAGTATCAATGCTGCAGATGTCTGGGATGATCCATGCAGATATAGAGAAGCTATAGACCCTCAGGTTATTGTTTGCCACCAGACATTTGTATTACAACTCCCAACAAATACTCCTCTATAGAAGGTGATTCTGAAAATATCTTAAGTTATAGATCTTGGACGCAATGCAAGTGCAAATGAAACGTCTCCATATGGAGATACTACTCCGCATTTTGCCTGGGCTATATACATATGTAGCAGGGATGGTCTGAGGAGCATACTCATTGCTGTGATATAGATTTGATGCGTATTATAAGAGCCATTTTGGAGGGGATGATTTTCAGTAATGTCTTCGTAGCGGTAGACTAAGGTAGATTGTCATTTCCTACAACTCGGACTGATCCTTGTTGTTCTCGTTCTGCAGAGCCCTATTTATTTCCCAATTAGGCAAACACATGGGCAACAGATAAACCCTTGTTATGTTGTATCGTCAACAAACCAGGACCCGGTGGTGCAGTGGGTTAACCCCCAAACCCAGCTGCACTGCTGGGTCCTGGTTCGAGACAGGCCCTGGTCGCTCCTCTGGTATAAATTTACCGAACAAACAGGATGGAGCGGCTGGGGCTTGGGCGGATCAGAGAGGGGCCTGTACGGCTTCCTCTCCGATGCGTTTTATTTCTCGAGATGACTATATCTCTCTATTTCAACTCTTTTTTCTTTTTTGGTTCTGTGTATCATTTGGTTTCTTTGCGCTTGTGGTATTGGATTGTTGTGGTTGAGAACTGACCAGAGAAGCAACTCTCCCCTGCTGCAGCACTTTCACTCTCGAAATATGGCCTCTGAAAAAGTGTTTTCTCTCAATCCACGAACTTCCGCGTCTTGTCCTCATCTCTCATCTCGACTCTGTCTCTGTTCTCGTAATTCAGTTTGTCTGCTCTATCTGATTTCTGCTTACCCTCCCTGATAGTCTGCACTTGCTAACCTCCTACTTCATACGCGTCAGGCTGAGACATCAGACGCATGCGTTATTCATGCTGTTATCTGCAGCGATACAGCTTTCTCTTGTGCTGGGAGATGTCTGTAGAGTTCATGGCGCAAGAGGAACCAGCATTGCGAACGGAGATTGCCAACGACGACCACGACTTTTTCCTCGACAACAGTTGAACGCCGACGTAATACCACATCAATAGAGCTCGATCTCCAGTATCAGACGTACACGTCAAGAAGCGTCAGGCTTGCAATCCTATCATCATGAAGGCGTCACCACTCTGGATCTGCAGCGCATTGGACGTTATTGATACGCTCCCATGCATATAACAGCGACGATGGCAATCGGCAGCTTTTGCCCTGTATAACACACATGGAGACCGTGCTGGCTCGATATCCCAGAGTATACGGAACAGGCAGACAACTTTGAAGGGATCGAAGCCGTCCGAGAGATTGAAGGCTTAACATAATGCTGGTGAAGCAGCTTCACCCGTGGAGGGCTGCATGGCCTGAGCTCTAATTACAGGAACCGAATTCTGCTCGAGGAGTGCTATGGACTCGTGCATATTTGCCCTGCCTGAATGCCAGCAGGGGTGTATACTCTAAACAATATTTTCACAGAAGGTAATTCAAAGGCACCTAGGGGTGATCTCGTCTAGGTAAGGAAAGGCATTGTTTCGGACTCACGAAGCAACAGACTGGGATTTCTCTACGGAAGTGAGATTTCCCTTCATTATTAAACGACATTCATTGTCGACCTCTGGCAATGTAGGCCATTTGGCGGCCTTGCCAGATTCAAGGATTGTCAACTGATTATAGCCAATACACGCTGTTCCACGGAGCATGGTTGGAGACTTTTAAGAACCTGGGGTATCCGCAGGTAGAAGATCCCATTCAAAGCGCAGGAACAGGACCGTTTGTCAGCCCTGGTGGGGTCCTGTCACCCATACCCGCAGCCATGCAGGGTCACCTTATTTCGGCGCAGATATACAGCGGCGTCCGAACCTACGAGTGGTGACGGGGGCGCTCGTGGAGAGGATCGTTCTGGAAGTCTGCGAGGCTTCTGTTGTCGCCACCGGGGTGCAGTTCTGCAAGGGGTAGCAAACGTACACGGTCCCTTGCGACCAAGGAGGTTATTCTCGCCGCGGGAGCAACGCAGACTCCACAGATCCTGGAGCTCTCTGGCATTGGTAGCGCAAACCTCCTCCGCTCGCATGGCATCATTCCAGTCTTTGATAATCCAAATAATGGGAGAACCTTCAAGACCATGGATTAGTATGTTTCGGGTACGAAGTAGCAGACGGGATGCCCTCGGGCCATGGCATTATGCCTTTCATGAATCTCTCCACAGCAGAACGTCACCAGTTACACGCGACGATCGATGCGTCGATCGCCTCTGGTAATTTGCCGCGCGTGCAGCAGAAGCAGTATCCGATTCTTCGAAAGCTGCTGGAAGATCCCGATGAACCCACAGCGCAGTACATCCTGGCGCCGTTTCAGCTTCTGCCCCGCGAGGGCAGCAGTCCCAAGGGCCTCTTCTCAATGAGTCATCCAGGATGCTTCATCACCGTTGTCTCCGCACTGAGCTATTCATTGTCTCGCGGTTCGGTGCATCTCCAGTCCGCAGACACCAAAGCAGCGCCAGCTATCGACCACGGCATTCTGCGTCACCCCGCAGACCTCGAGCTCCATGCACGTCACAGTATTTGGACCGAGACATTGGCCGAAACCGAGCCAATGGCCTCTCTACTTAAGAAGTAAGGAGCACGGCTGCACACACCCGAGCGACTTACTAACGTGGAGAGGGCACCGAACTGTGTAAGGAACTCGTACTGTCCGAGTGGCACACCAGTGGGTCATGTGCAATGATGCCACGCGAAGACGGTGGAGTGGTGGACCCGAAGCTTAAAGTATATGGGACGGTGAATGTGCGGGTGGTGGGTGCCAGTGTGTTTCCACTGGAGCCCCGGGCAATATCCAGGCCACGGTGTTTGCAGTGGCTGAGAAGGCGGAGGATACTATCAAGTTTTGCTACAAGGCTTATGGTAATCCGAGTCATACCGGCTTTCATTTGTCTCACAACTTACTTCAGGAGGACGTTGAATGTGATGTTAGCGACATTCAAAGTTTTTTAGCGACTGTGATTATTTATAGCATCAGAGTAGGGCCCGTGAGTTCTTTGGACGTGGCTTTGGTCTAGTAGTAGCTTTCCGGAGGATCAACAATGAAGGGCTAAGACAATAATAGACTGGAAATTGAGGATCCTACTAGAGACTGAACTCATTGTTACTCAAGAATGTGATGTGACATTAAATGCATGCATCTTCATATTACTGCCTTATTAGGCCGCTAGTAAGAAGCACAGCAGAGACCTCGGAACGTTGCATCTTTGACCTGCTCAACTTCCTCAACTGCGCTCGTCCCAACCACCTCATCATTCCAATTCATCCACCAACGATACGTCCACACAAAGCAGAGAAGAATACGAGGCAAGAATATATCTGCAGGGTCTTCTAAGTTCAAATCCTCCATTGACTCGAATCTGAACGGTGATCCGGCTGACTTTTCCGGGGAGACATGTCTTACGACCCCGCATCGCCATCAACATCACCGACACTAAATAATGGCCACGTTACATTGCTATTGGGAAGCCAAGTCGCTAGTTCTACGCTAGACCGCTAGACATGCTAGAAGTCTCCTACGGCAACGGTGATGGGTCAATCTCGCGAGGGGAAGCGATTTTGAGAGACTAAGCGTAAAAGACTAATCTAATTGCCTTTTTCGCAATAACCTGTTTCTAGGAAAGATTCTGAGTCAGGCCCTATCAGGAACAAGGGGACAACACAAGTACAACGTCAGTGGACGCCTAAACAGTGGAGAAGCTACTGGGCTTTGAGTGTGTTCTTCCGTCTGTCTACGCTTTGTTAGTCTTGGGCTCAGACCAGGATGACGGTCTATCACTCTGCGTGTCTCACTCTCCTCCGGAGACTTTCTTGTTTCTCTGGCAATGTCATCATCTATTACTCAATATGACATATGAGATTGACGAAAGGAAAAGTCTGAGAGAAACTGTGCATCCTACCTTTGACTCTGTCCGTTGCTTATTGGATACAGTTGTACTGATACCATCCCGTTGCCAGCACCAACCTCCTTATTCTGGCAATATATGCACCCAATCAGACAATCATCGACGGTCTTGCCACTGGCTTGGTCTAAAGAACGGCCCCCCGTCGTAGTGCCTTAGCTCATGTTCGATAATTTGGTCAGCCACTTCCATGAGACCAGGCGTGCACTAACCTCGAAAGAGCATTTCCCGACGTCGCTGGTTCGGGGGTCTTCACCAATGTCTATGAACGAACTGGCATATCCCGGATCAAACGGGAATGAGTCTCATTATCAAAGTCAAAGCGAGGCATCCCACGGGTGCAAGGCGATGACACATGTGACTTGACCACCAGCCTCAGGACGGGATTAAATAGTCCTGGGATGGTACCTCGAGGTATCTATCTGTGCTGATATTTCCTCACCTGCTGTAAGTCTGTCGCTCGTTACAGTAGTAACCGGTCGTCCCTCGCTTGATCTTTGTTTACACCCATCACAGTCGTTTATCGTCTGATACTATTTGGTTGCTTCAATGCGGTTCTCTGCGTTAACCTCCCTCCTCGCCTTGGGAGCCTTCACCGGCGTCCTCGCGACGCCCACCAAGGTCTCCAGGGCACCCTCGCTGGTGGAGCGTGACTTTGCCACGGTCACCAGTGTTGTGGCTGCCATTTCGTCCAAGGTCGATGCTCTGGATGCGGACATCAACGCCTACACTGGAGGCGATACGTCCGCCATTGTGGGCGCTTCTGCAGACCTCATCTCCACCATCAACGATGGCACTTCCACCGTTGCGGCCCAGCCAGCCCTGAGCCAAACTGACGCTCTGAATCTGGTGAATCCAATCTTGGCTCTGACCAACAAGGTCAAGACCACCATCAACGACCTCGTCTCCAAGAAGAGTCTGATCGTCGCTGCCGGCGCGGGTCCTACCACCTATAACCAGTTGCTGGACCAGTACACGGCCTCCTCGAACTTGGCTACGACCCTGTCTGGCAAGGTACCGGATGCTCTCAAGGACGTCGCTAATCAGCTGTCCTCGGGAATCACCTCGGCCATCCAGACGGGTATCGATGCTTACAAGGATGTGGGCACCGCCACGACCACTACGACGACGACGACTTCCACTCCTCCTACGACTACT